GTGAAATTTTAAGCTTAGTTTCCTTTAAAGTCCTCATGTGTATTTAGTTTTGAAGAGAGATAAGGCCCTTAAGTTACTGCTACTTAACTTCAAGTAGAAGAAAGATGAGTTCCTGTTGAGAGTAAGGTTCACCCGTAACCATGGCAACATAGGAGCACCCTAAAACAATCAATATCTGAGCAGGATTTGTCAGCCAATGTTCTCACCTCTCTGGAAGGTCACAACTATGCCCTTTTGTACCAAAATCCATGTTAGAGAAGGTTGGTTACACAACACCCCTTTGAGTCATGAGGCAGAATTAACCTGGCACTTAGGAATTCAGAATTTGAAACCAATTGACATGTTGACTTTAGGTATATACAACACCTGCTGGAATTACAGTATGAATCCTGGCACATGCCAGTAGCATAGCATCTGCCTTCTAGAACTGCTCTGAAACAATGAGTGAATAACATGAAGCAGTGAGGCTAATGTCTGGCATGCAGTAAGTTCCTCCATGTATCCTGTGGTGGTGTGAATAAGAATGGCCCTCATAGGCTCACGTATTTGAATGCTTAGTCACTAGGGAGTGGAACTCTGATAAGATTAGAAGGAATAGGAGGTGTGGCTTTGTTGGAGGAAGTGTGTCACTGGGGGTGGGCCTTGTTGAAGGAAGTGTGTCACTGGGGGTGGGCTTTGAGGCAGATCAGGGTGTAGCTCCCGCTATCATCCAGTGCCATGCTTGTCGCCATGCATCTTGCTGTGATGACAATGGGCTCACCCTCTGACACTGTAAACACGCTCCCAATTAAACGCTTTCTTTTATAAGAGTTGCCTTGGTCATGGCTTCTCCCTATAGCAATAGAACAGTGACTTAAACAAATCCTGTAGTGCCTGCGGTGACTTCAGATTCTGAAGTAGAGAAGGCTGGAGAAGAGACTCTGCCCTCCAGTTCTCTATTCCATTTGGTCCCTTTACAGTCCAGTCTGTGCCAGGTCAGGCGCTCTTGTAGGAATTCTCATATTCAAATGACCTGGGCATACAAGGGGTAGCCATGCCAGTCAGAGACCATTGTTCCCCTGAAAGAAGAGCTGGTTTATTATTCTTCCCGTCAGAGGAGGCAAGGCAGTTCCCATCCCGGCTCCCAATTCTCACCCTACGTGTGTGTCCAATCCCTCACAACCGACAAGGCTGGAGGCCAGCCTTGTCTACACAGTTCTAGAGCAACCAGGGCTACACAGAGAGATCCTGTCTCAAAAGAATCAACGGACAAACAGAGTCAACTTAACGATCCCTGTATATGCATTTGGTACAGGACTATAAACTGAACCATGACTAGCCTATCAGTGGCCAAGTCCTCAAAGCAAACAGGCTCTTCCCCCCCCCACCCCCCGCAGTCATCACTGGCCAACAGCTCCTCAGCTAGGTGTGGGGTTTCGTGGGGTCCAACCCGTCTGCTCTGGAAACTTGTATGGCTTCATTGGACACACAGTGCCAGCTTCTGTGAGTTGTGACACTGTCATGTCCAGCAAACGCTGTCTCACTGCCCGCATTAATTCCCTCTTGCTTTTGCAGACTTGCCTCCCTCTGGCTGCTTCTACCATCATCTACACGGTAAGGAATTCCCACTTAAAGCAGAGGGCTTTACAGTCTCATATTTTTTGCATGTTGACTAGTTATTGGTCTCTTTACTAATTGTCGTCCACTGCAAAGGAAGCTTCTCTGATGCGAGCTCAATGATGCACAAGTCTGTGTCATGAAGATAAGAACTTGGGCAGTTTATTATTGCATCTACTATTTAGCAGAATAATAATATCAGGTTCTCCCCTCGGGCTTATGATGTCCAGCCATGGGTTTGGGGCCTAGTTAATAATACCAAGCATGAGTTCTGTTCTTATAGAACAAGGTGTCTTGGGAGTAGTGATAGCTGATAGGAGTCCTGGAGGGGCATCAGATGGAAAGAGCAGAGGAGACACTGCCTGGGTTCCGATCTTACCCTGGGCACAGTCTGTATACACGCCTCCTAGTTCTTCAGCATAGACAAGATCTCAGATGCTCCTCCACCTCCCTCTGGCAGCTGAACCACGCTAACACCTACCAGCCCTTCAGCAAAGCTGGGTCATCTGCTTACCCCAGCTTCTCAGCCCCTCCTTCTGTCATTACCTGGGATCTTCATGGAACCTTGGGGAATCAGTTTTGTTGAAAGCAGCCTCTTCCAAGGTTTGGACCTGAACTGTATAAAATATACAAAGCCTGAATGCAATTGGTTGGAGTCCCTCATTATCTTTTCCCCATTCCCTGCTCAGTGAACTCCAGCAGGCCATAGACGCTGATTGCTTTGCTATTAATGGACATTTCACTGTTTAGAAGGCAAACGCAACTCTTGGTTTTCAAGGGCAGGCTGCTGCGTGGCACATTGATGAGTAGACCCTGGGATAACACACTCATTGATGGACTTCCCTCCACGGGACTGAATGGGCTGTTCTCTGTGTGTTCTGTGGTGAGGTCAGCAAGTTAAGTAGCTTCACCTTGAGCCAGAGGGTGCTAGAGGCCGGAGAACCCCCTGTTGTGCTGGCTCAGGACTCAGTCTAGTGGAAAGAAGCCCTTGGACTTCATGCTGCAAAAGGCCCTGTCATCAAAACCCAGGAGGCCCACGAGGATGCTACCACTTTGCCATTCTTGCCATTTCTTCCTCCAAAAATTCCTCACCCACCATCTTCCATTTCTTGTAGAACTGTCATCTCCTGTCAATTCTGCACCAGGTCTTTCCCAGAGGACTGGCTACAGAGTGGAGCTCTGTCTTCTCAACCATTCATTGCTAATATCACACTGGGGCAAAGTAGACAGTAGACCTTCAAGCAAGGGCCTGGCAACACTAGGGAGATGGTTCAGTGGGTAGGACGCTTGCTGCATAAACGTAAGGACCTAGGTTGTGGATCCCCAACACCCAACTAAAATCATGACATGGACACTGGTGTCAACAACCCCGGAACTCAGGGGTAGGGGGAGAGGGGCAGCACCATCAGTACATCACCTAGAGCTGGGTCTAAGAGTAACTGAGATGATTGGAGACAGATGGATCCCCAGGGTTCGCTGGCCAGCCAGCTTAGCAAAGAAACCAGGGAACTCCAGATTCAGACTCAGAGACCCTGTCGCAAGGGAATACGGTACAGAATGATAGAGCATGACACTCGGCTTCCTCCCTTGAGTTCCACAGAGACAAGTGCAACACACACACACACACACACAGAGAGAGACAGAGAGAGAGAGAGAGAGAGAGACAGAGAGACAGAGACACACACCGAGAGACAGAGAGAGAGAGAGACAAAGAGAAAGACACACAGAGAGAGAGAGAGACAGAGACAAAGAGAGAGACACACAGAGAGACAGAGAGAGAGAGACAAAGAGAAAGACACACTCACAGAGAGAGAGAGAAAGAGAGACAGAGAGACAAAGAGAGATACACACAGAGAGACAGGCAGAGAGAGAGAGAGAGAGAGAGAGAGAGAGAGAGAGAGAGAGAGAGAGAGAGAGAGAGAGAGAGAGAGAGAGAGAGCATTAGTTCATCTTTCTTCCACTGGGATGACTTTAAAGAATTCTCTGAGCCTGCCTGTCTGGGCTAGATGGAACATGGAAGTCTGGGTAGATTGCACTGATAGTCTGGGTATCAGGGAGCACTGAGCATATTCATTTGTCCTTGAACTTTTTGGTCTTCCTTTAACACTTCCTTTTGGTTTGGTTTGGTTTGGTTTGGTTTGGTTTGGTTTGGTTTGGGGTTGTCTCACACTGTCCCTGAGTTCTCTCAGAGTACATACAGAACAACCAAGGCACATTTCCTAGACTCTTCAGAAGGAATCTCAGAGTCTGGCCTTCTACACCCCTTCCCACAGCCGGTGTCCACAGCCAGTGTCCCAGAGACAGAGCACATCCAGCCGGTGTCCCAGCCAGTGTCCCAGACAGAGCACAGTTCACTGCTTCTCTGTCATGGAGCAAGTGTCATCACAATTATATGTCATTTGTTTGTTTTTGTTTTGTTTTGTTTTTTTAGCAACTATTTGAAACCCTAAACATTTTACTTACTGCCCTGAGTTTTGACCTCTAGACTATCAGTGAAGAGCTAGAAAAAATCCCTTCCCCACACTGCAGTTCCGCAGCTGCTGCATCACAGGGTACCAGGGCAAGGCAATGCATACCGGCAAGCTGGTCTGAGTGCAGCTAAGACATCTCGAGTGACAAGAAGCAAGCGAATGGCTGAATCGTGCTCCCGGAAGCTGACAAAGCCTCCAGCGTGGATGGCTGAGTTTCCACACCTTGTAGCTGTGTCCACTCACATCCCCCCTGCCTCCGACAGCCGCGTCTTTCTCCTCCTAGTGCTCCCTTGCCTTGCTGTTTAGACGCAGGGTTCTGTTCCTGTGCGAAGTAGCTAAACAACCTGATTAGGAAAGCTGGTTTTGCTAATTCCATGGTGTGTTGGGAAGGAGACAGAATTTAATTACCTAATTGAGTAAACAGGTAAAGAAATACTGCAGTCAGGCAATACAATAAAATAAGTAGCTGTTCTGATTTTATGCTTAAAAGAAAAAAAAGAAGAAAAAAAACAGGCCTGAATTCAATATTATTCGATTAGGCCATCAAATTACTTTTGCATTGAGGAAAACAAGCCCTTCCGGATCAGCCTGTGTTTCAGGCTTTCTGTGAAGCAGACCAAAGAAGAGTCAGGCGGATCGCTCAGTGCTCGGGAGGCATAGCATTAATCAGGACGTTAGTGGATTATGAGAGTGAAGTATGTAGTGCCTGGGGGAATACTTCTTCATTTGGGCAGGGACATGGTAACATTAAAGGGACAGTGCTACACGCTGCCTTCTCTCTGGTTGCAACAACTCGAGCGTCTTGTCTGTGCTGCTGGTGGATTATTAACAGAGGTTATTGGTCGCCATGGCAAAACAATTGAACGATTGCACAGAACGTAATCTCATTTATGGGGGTGCAAAAAAAAGACATAGGGTCAGGGATATAAATGCCCATCGCCACCAAGGGCCTGCCGTAGCCGGGAAGTGAATCGCCTCCAAGGACTCCACTCAAGAAGCTCTGACCCTTGGGCCCAAAATTCTAACTGAACCGAGTAGGGCTACTGGAACACACTGCCAAATCGCCGAGGAGGCCCGGGAAGCAGGTGGTGGGAAGCCTCTGATCTCGGAGCTCTACTGTGCCACCCAGCATGTGCACTGGAGGCTGTGCCAAGTGCCTGGGGGGCACCCTCATCCCCCTGGCTGTGTTTGGCCTCCTGGCGAATATCCTGCTGTTCTTTCCTGGCGGGAAGGTGATAGATGACAACGACCACCTTTCTGAAGAGGTCTGGTATTTCGGAGGAATAGTGGGAAGCGGCGTCTTGGTGAGTAGAGACACCTTAGTGTTTCCCTAAGAGAGAGTCGCCCCTGCTCCCATCCTCCCTCATCCGCTTCTCGGTACGTGGGTTCCATTCCGGAGCTATCAACCTTTACGCACTGAAAAGTAGTGCCCTGCTATACCTCCCCTTCGTGGCAGTGGCTGTAACATCTTGGTTTACTAAGTGGTCCATGCCCAAGCTTGGGCTGGAATCACCATAGGACATTGGAGCTCAGGGAAGCTGACAGTCGCTTGATTGCTGCACTCCAATAAAACAGTGCCGATGAGAATTATAAAGGAAACACAGTGCTTTATCCCAATGGACTAAGTTGGAATGCAGGGGTGCAGAAACTGTGGGTTAGCTCTCACTCAGGAACTCACCCTTTCACTACCCCTTGTTTCCAGTACGAGTGGGACCTCCAGGTTGTATTATGGCACTATGTGCCTTTTCTTTTGCCCTAACCCACCCTGAAGGCGACAACCGAGGATGCCAACTCTTAAAAGCTCCTCACAGACATTGGTCAGTCGGGCCAAATGGAACCCCCAAGCTAACTGTTAGGTCTTGCCTGCCTACCTAAGCCTCTGAGACCTGAGGTCTTCATTGGCCAGAGAAAAAGAAAACGTGGGCTTCTTTTCAGCCCCAGACCCTCTGAGCATTTCTTCTCTTGCTGGCAGATGATCTTCCCTGCACTGGTGTTCCTGGGCCTGAAAAACAATGACTGCTGTGGGTGCTGTGGCAACCCAGGCTGTGGGAAGAGATTTGCGGTGAGTTTTCATGGGGTCGGCTGCCGGGATTACTCTGGAGTTTACTGCGGGCTTGTGCTTGGCAGCATGGGTGTGCCGAACAAATAACCAGCTCCAAGCAAGACTCTTGGGACATCGGGTAGATGACTAAGCTCTCTCTGATTCTCACTGGTACAGAATAACAAGAATAAATACATTAAATTTGCAACCTTCATACTTAGGGGTATAGAGACATTTCAGTTTTTCAAGTCCATAGCAAGGACAGAGCTTTAGAACTGGGGTGACATGACCCTGCAAAGAGCAGGCAGAGGCGAGGCCACACACTTCCCTTTCCTCTAAGAAGCCATGAAAACGTGAACAAATCATACCTTTCTGCTGGCTCTGAATTGTCTCATCATTAAAGGAGGCTTGGGGCAGGGTAAAAGATGCTACCTCGCCTCCTGAGTAGGATCACCAAGCTCTCATCTTTACCACAGCCAAGGGCACTATTTCTGGAGGCCCAGCATTTCCCACTGACACCCAGAATCTGCCTCGGGATTTCAGCTTCCTCTCGTGTTTCATGCGGCCATCCATCTTTTAGTTGGTGAACTGGAGACTAGGGAGGCATTGATGCTCCTGGGGGAGCAGAAGGAATGCTGGCATGTGGGTCAGGCCCCATTTCTGCAACTGGGCAAGTCACCAAGTGTAAGATAAGAGAGTTGGACTGGATCAGAATTCCCTAGATATGGGCCAAACCCTGCTACATAGATACGTGTGTCCAACAACAAAGAATGTTTTCTTTCACTTATCCTCCAGTTGTTTTTATTCTATGAAGGAAAGAAATCCTTATTTTGATGGGGATAAGCCTTTGCTGTTTCTAAACCTTCAAACCTTCCTTCTGAAAAAGAGAGAACCCAAGGCTGTAAGAACACAAGCAACATTGGGTGACTAAAACTTAATAACACTAGGTTCATGTCTGCTAACAATTTCATTTTTTCTTTCAAAATAGTGATATGGATTAATAAAACACTTGGATTAGAAACTATTAAGCATTTAGGTATAAGATGAGGCAAACATTTAGGTATATGATGAGTGTAGACCCTAGGTTCCATGATGACACTCCTACTCCTACTCCAGCTTCCCAGGGCTCAAGTTTCTATCAAGGAGATGGCTAAGCCTTCCTTAGATTGTTGAAAGTCTGTCTGCCCATTCTGAAACCTTGACATTTCTTTCTTGCCATCATCTGCCCACTTATTCAAGAAAGAAGGTATTTACCGAGCACACGCAGAAGGCCTCTGTGCTCTGTGTATAATGCACTGAAGCTTTCATATGACATCATACCACTCACAGAATATCACTTCTAAAAAGCATTGTAAGTACGAAAATTGTCATTTCAGCATTTTTACACAAAGAGGAAAAACAGCAACAACTCATTTGATATAATTGTGTTAAATGTTGTATATACTTGGTAATATTTTCATATGATTGACTATAAAGGAGAGGAAGCGCTATATAATTCATTTTCCCATCAGACCTTTTATAATTTGCAAACTTTGGAAGATAAGTTGGAGATGGCATTTTGAAAAATAATAGCAATTAAGGGATTTGGATGGAAATATAAAAAATCATATCTTAGAAATCTTGGTATGCATTTCTGAGGCTGAATAAAACTAGACAATGACTAACTTACACAACAGTCAGGCAGGTGCGCAGGCTAGCTTGTGTGTTTCTAGGTTTCCCTGTAACTAAAGAAGCAAAACTGTTCAAAGTATTAGACAAAATGTTGATTTAGCTTGATTTAAATGAAGTGCAGAGTACAGCAAGAAAGACATATTTTCCCAGTACAGTTGAGCAAGCATGTTCTGAAACATTTAGTCTGGATCAGGGCTCCTGAGCCTCCAGTTGGGATCTGCCCTTGGAGAGGGTGGAGAAGAGCTGCCTCCCGCCGCCAGTCGTGAAGACTGGAAACCACGGCTGGAAGCCTCAGCTACAGGAGACAAGGGCACCGTGAATGGATAGTCAACATCCGGGTTTCTTAGTTTGGATGGGTTTGTTTTGAATCAATGATGAGAGCACAAGTTGCACCTGTATGTCTTCTTTTCAAATGACAAAAACAAAAAACAAAAAACAAAAAAATTAGCCTGGTATCCCTGGCCTCACGGCACAACCACGGCCTGTCTATGTTGGTATGGCCTCCACTGGCATGGCTCTAGGACTCCATGTTCCCTGGTAGTGTCTCTGTTCCCCTCCAAGGCCATGTTTATAGTCCAAGGCCCCTACTTTATAGTTGTCCTCTTTCTGTTCAGAGGAGACACACACAGAGATACACACCACACACACACAAAACTGCACCATCATCTAAATGCCACAATCTGAATTTTTTTTGTAAACGCTTAAAGCCTTTCCTTACAAATGAACGCCGCCCCAGTTGTCTGTGGAGCTCTGAGGAGCCCTGACGGTAGAAAGATCTTTGAGCAAACCCTGCAGAAGCCAGAGTGGCAGCCTCCTTCACTGGCACCATTATGTTTTTCTAGAATATTCCCCAAATGCTAACTGCACTTACACCATTCTTGTCCTTCAGTAACAAAAGGCAGGAACTGGAAGGTAAAGCAATCTGTAAACAACCTTGAAATTACCTAATTCATAGTTTCACTGGGAAGCCTGAGGAAACAGGTGGTCTGTCTGTCTGTGTGTGTCTCTGTGTCTGTCTGTGTGTGTCTCTGTGTCTGTGTATGTCTCTTTGTCTGTCTGTGTGTGTCTCTGTGTCTGTGTGTGTCTGTCTGTGTGTCTCTGTGTCTGTCTGTGTCTCTCTCTGTCTGTGTGTGTCTCTGTCTGTCTGTCTGTCTGTCTCTGTCTGTCTGTCTCTGTCTGTCTCTGTCTCTGACTCTGTGTCTGTCTCTCTCTCTCTCTCTCTCTCTCTCTCTCTCTCTCTCTCTCTCTCTCTCTCTCTCTCAGCCCAAAGGTCTGAACTCTCTCAAATATATTAGCCAGGAAGAACAGTAAGAACAGAACCTTCCAGGGTGGCCTTTGAAGTCCTGACCTGGGTTTGTTTTGGGGTCACAACCTCCTCTTCCCATGCCCAAGAGCCTCCCTGACTTCCGACTGCCTGTCCGTTTGGTCACTACTCCCTGCACTCTCTTCAATGTTTGGAAAATGTTGATTTCTCAGGGCCCAGTGGGATGACGGCTAACTAATTTTATCAACTGGTTCACTTTAGCAAAGGGCCGTTTAGAAACCTTGGACTTGACTCAAAGTTGAGCGCCTTTAATAACGGGACGGAAAGCAGATTGATGAAGGAGATAGCTGGAGGCCAGGCAGACATTTCAGTTCTTAACAGCATCGGGTAATAAATCCTGATGTCCACACCCTAGGGAGGGCACTGTGGCTGACTTTTCGAGGGAAGATCTTGGTATTATCATTAGGCCACCTGTGTGCAGTTGAGTCAGCACTTCTTGTGCTTGGCTCATCACCGCCCCCTTCAGGCAGATCCTGGATATCTAGCTCTTTATTCCTACCAACGGCAGACTGGAGGAAACTTAAGAAAGGCAATGCTTTTAAAGGATGCATTATCATAAAGTAAGAAGTTAAAGTGTGGATCTACATTTCTTCACTGTTCTCTCCCCTTCAAAAAAGAATCACCTTTTTAGCCGGGCATTGGTGGTGCACACCTTTAATCCCAGCACTTAGGGAGGCAGAGGCAGGATCTCTGTGAGTTTGAGGCCAGCCCGGTCTACAGAGCGGGTTCCAGGGCAGCCTCCAAAGCCATACAGAGAAACCCTGTCTCGAAAAATCAATATATATATATATACATATATATATGTATATATATATATATCATCTTCTTTGTCTCCCACTAGGTTTCATGCCCAGCATACCAAAAATTTGAAGAAAAAGCAAAACAAAACAAAAAAAGTAAAATGTGCTGTTGTCAAATAGGTATAGCAACACTCGGGAAGATATTACCAGAAAGAAGTTGAGCATTAGTGTAAAGAGAAGGAAGTCCCACGTAAGCGTTCAGTGTCGAGGACATACTAAATCCTGGAGAAATACTTGCTAGGCAAACAAAGTGAGGGATGTCAGGGGATTTCTATACTTTCTCGGGCTTAATCTTCACAAAAGCCTTTCAGTCACACAATAAAGTCCTCACATTACAAGGGAAGAAACCTAGGTTGTACCTTAAGTTCCTGACTGGAGCCCTCATAGCTTTCTCAAGCAGAGCCAAGACAGAAAATACGGGATACTACTGTTTTAAGAGAAAAAAACCAGTTGGGCTTGCTGGTCCACTGTAATCCCAGCACTCAGAGGTTAGCCTCTAGAGGAAGGAGGGAAGGAAGGAGGGAGACAGAGAGCCAACCTCGGGTAGCCTCCGTTGACCTCTTCAAATGTTTGCCAAGTAGGAAGGGAGGGTCCACCAGAGGTGTCTTACTTACGTGTGCGCGGCCATCGCCCGCCCGGCTCTGTGAATACTACAGCCCCAGGCCACACACTTTTCCTCCCCTTCCATGGCCCTCTCCTTGTGACCTAGCTAAACCCAGCATATAATGAGTGGCCAAAGACACACACCCCGGAGCAATGACAGTCCTGAGCTCCATTATCACAGGACCCTGATGGGGAGGCCATTTACTTTTCTTTTTCTCCCCAGACTTCTGCATTTTGTGTTTGTAGAAGGGAAGGTGAAGGTTCAACAGTAAAAATATTACAGCATAATAATAATAAATTGCTATGCGCTAGCACTCATGCATTGAGTGTATTACAGTGTCATGGAAATTTTCCTAAGATAAAGCACAAAAGGTCCCTAGTGTCTTATCAGTGAGAGGCACACTGGGCATTGTTTAATAGCTCACCCATCACCTCAACCCTGAGAAACATCTGGTTCTTCTAGAGGCTAGTCACTGCTGAGCAGGCTCTCTTACTCATTAATTATTATTATTGAACCTCATTTTATAGAAGAGGAAGCAAGGCAGAATGATTAACTTCTCAAGGTCGTGTGGAAGTAGCCAGAACTTAGACCCAGCTCCTGCTCCCTGTAACTCACACCTGTGATCGTGACACATTAGCGTCCCTTTTTCTATGTATTCCTTTTGGAGAGATAAAGCAGACTGCAGGTGAAGGCTAGGATGAATGTTTCCGTTCTGGAGTCCCAAACCTGGCATGTAGGGCCAGAGGCGCACCTGGGAAGCTGTCCCAGATCTTTTGCCAATTCACTTTAAATATTATCAGCTAGGGGGTGGCTACCCTAATGTACTTCATTTGACCTCAGCAAATTCCCATTTAATAAAAGACTTTTTTACCATAAAACCCTATGATAAATGGGACTTGAGCCATGCTTGTTTTAAGACAGATCATACCTGGCTGGGGCGTGGCGGCACTAGACGCTTTTATGTGATATAAGTCAAAGCAGTGTGATGTAAAGTGTACCTTCCTTTATGAGATTCACCTATCCTGTAAGATTATGAAAACTGAAGTGCTTGTTTTATTTATTTTAAGTGGGGGGTGTTTCAAAATGGAACTCAAAAACAGAACGTATCACTTACGGCTCTCTCCAAAACTGGAACCCAATGCCCAGTTCCCTTTCAGAGACACCGTACAGCAAAATAAAGCACAATCTATTCACTTAAAAATGACTGCGTTCCTCTCGCTATCACATTCCTTTCCTTCCTGAGAGGAAGAATTGCCATGAAGTCAATGAGCGCCAGACCCACGAGTTTTAAAACTTCTTACTACCAAAAATTTCAAATGACCTAGGTGAATATGGTTCAGCGTGGCAGCCACGTGGCAGCCCACGGAAAATGGAAAGTGCCTGGTCTATGCAAAACGTGACCGCATTCCAAAGAACTGATACAAAAAGGAGATATTTTACTCAGATCACATGTTGAAATAGCATATTAAATATGCAAAATTAAACAAAATACATCGCTAAAGTAAATATCTTCTGTGTTTTCCTTTAAGCTAGGGCATTCACATATTTGTCTTAGATTAACATTATAGACCAAGGTGGTCTAGGAGAAGTTTAAATGGTTACACTTTGACAAAAGGGAACACCATCCCTCACCATCCCCTTGTTGATGGTTTTTGTTAACCTGACTTCTCATTTGCCCCTCACTTGCCTAAACGGGGATGCGTTTACCTCTGTACACACTCTTCGCCGGTATCCTTTTACAGCATAAATGAGAATTATATATATATGAAAACCCTCGCAAAATGACTTTTGTCATTTTTTTCTAGACAGGGTCCCATGCATCCCGGGCTACTTTAAACTTGACATATAGCCAAATGTGACCTTGATTTCTTATTCTGCCCCCACCTCCAGGAGCACGAACTATAGGTGGGCATCATCGTTCCCAGTTTCCAGAACTATGTTTCACTGAATCATTAGAGGAAATTCATTGCATTAAAGGGTTAAAAAGCAAAATATTAAAACAGCCAATTCATGAAATGTTAATAGCAGTGCTTTTTTACTTACTAACACGTTGAATAATAAGTTGTGGTAACAAGTCTTTCAGAACTTCAAATTCATGTCAAGTAGTGGCAATGGTTGCATAGTTACAATGTTATTAAAATCGATAGACAGTTCAAGAACGGCCTGGGCTGCTGACGTCCCCATCGTGAAGCGGGTGGGAGGACATTCCACTGCTGACAATGACAGTACAGACTCACCTGTGTATGATCAAACATGTGAAATGTCTAGCGGTGTACCTGAACTCCTCTACCCAGATCTCTCAACAGGAGGAGTTGAGCTTTTCCTTCCACTACTGTCTGGGTGTGGAAATCCTGGGCTTTTCCTTCCACTACTGTCTGGGTGTGGAAATCCTGGGCTTTACCTTCCACTACTGTCTGGGTGTGGAAATCCTGGGCTTTTCCTTCCATTACTGTCTGGGTGTGGAAATCCTGGGCTATTTTAGCTGAAGGGACCTACAGGAGCTGTGGATATCTCCACTCTTGTTTGGTCCAGTGCTGCTGAGAGCACAGTAGCCAGATCACCTGAAAGACCCACCTTCCCACCTGGAAATGTAACTCTGTTTTGAAACAGTTCAAAGACCCCTATGTGTTCAATCAGTAATGGTTCAATGACTTTGGGCTAGAATAGGCCACTACAGTGAGATCAAGTAAGCAGAAAGCAATTTTAACTTTAATTTTATTTTATGTATGTGAGAAAACCAATTTCACTCACAAGGAAACTTGAAAATAATACAATGTCCAGTGCTGGTGGCCATGAGGTATGGAAGTATGGAGTGTGGGTGTGTATTGCATCTTTTTGTCCGCAGGGAGTGTGCCTTAGGACCAGAGTGAAGACCCTCTAGATTTATAGTCTTCAGTGGCAGAAGCAGCACTCATAGAGCACTTGGCCAGAAACATTAATCCCAAGATGCCTTTCTTCTGTAACAGATCGGCCTTATATATTGGTCCCGTAGATTTTACTCCTATCATCATATATATAATATATATATGAATATGAATATATGGATATGGATATGTTGATCTGAAGGCACAGACAGTGTTGCGTTCCTCAATCAATGAATAAGTGAAAAGATGAGTGTGGAGTAATAAATGGAACATGAGTCACAAGCCTTCATTTGAGAGAGCTGTAAGTCCACCTGTAACTACAAATAGCTCCTACCGTATGGTCACCAGGTTTGCTGAGTGGTGTAAGCGAGCGTAGACAATCTCCGCACAGTCTAAGAACTTTGTTGTCTCTCCTCCCTTCCAGATGTTCTCCTCCACGCTGTTTGCTCTGATTGGATTTGTGGGTGCTGGGTACTCCTTTGTCGTCTCCGCTGTCTCCATCAACAAAGGTCCTAAATGCCTCTCGACTAACGGTACATGGGGATACCCCTTCCACAACGGGTAAGGCTTCACGTACCATGAACGCGCTGTCAAGCACTCTTCATTATGTACTCTCAACATGTTGCCCCTCAAGGCAAAGCTGACTCTGAAGTTAGGAGAACTTTCGTAAACCTCACTTCTGACTGTACTTTTGAAAAACATGACAGAAATAACTGGAACAGGATGCCTTCATTGTCCAGAGAAAAACGGTTGTGTCACAACTCACATGCAAGCATTAGAAGATTGTTTTTAATATTTTTTTGTCCTCAAGGAGTGGCCAGGTCTAGATTGCTAGTCTTCAATAGCATAATCAGAATCTGCTTGCCACATAGAACTCCATAGTGACATTCCCAAATGAATATTTGATTTAATTCCCCAGTTTCACCAGCCATGTTTTAAGTACTTACTAGATGTTTGTGGCTTGCAGCTACTGTGCTGAATAGCAACAATATAGAGAATTTCCATTGTAGCAGATGTTCTGTTAGATAACTATATTCTATTCTCTGAGAATCTTGTACCATTTCTCATTTGCTCATTATCTCAGATCCTCTATTTTGCACAGTGGGTGAACATCCCTGGGGTCAAGAAGTATGGCTGTTGGATTGTCCAGCATGTAGAGAATGGGTCCATTAAAAAATATCTATGTACTAAGCCAATAGACAGTTGTCCATCAGCATCTACGGAGGCTCCTGGACACCTGTAGTCACTGATGCACGAGTACCTTGCACAGACTTGCAACAGCATTTGCATATTATTCATAACACTTGATGCCATGTAACATGCTATGCAAACAACCGATGCACTGCTTTGCTTAGAGAACAATGGCATGTCCATTACAGATGCAATCTTATCAGTTATTTATGATCAAGTTTACATACGTGGTACCTGAATACGCAGAAGGATGGCTGTATTGATTTAAACTACTGCTTATTCACTTACAATAAGATCCTTAGAAACTTCGAGAGCTGTCTTCAGACTGGAGGTGGGAGGCACTGGCTCTGATACAATGGTCTTGGTATGCTCACAGTCGGCAAGTACTCCATCCCTGTTCTCCCAGCTAAACATAGATCAGTCATCTTCACATCGTATGCAATGACTCCAAGATGTTTCTTTTACTATGGAACGTCCTCAGACCTTGCAGGGAACTGTTAAAATTCTATTGCCACGGACTGAGGAACACAGAGCTTAGACACCAGCATACTGAGCCTTCTCTTCGGATGTCAACATCAGTGGCTCCGTCTCTCCCCTAGAAGGAGTCGGGAAAGCAGTGGGTTATGTCTCTCTGAAGGACCCTTCTGCTACTACTTCTGTCAGAAGTATCTTTGCGGTGTTAGCCATAGCTTTCTGTTGTGTTGGGCTGTGTGAGTAAGGTTGTCCTCCACGAACTTAATGTCGAGTTAAGATAAAGGCGGTGTCAAAAACAGAGGAGAGGAAGAAGGAAACACAGTAGGTCCACAGTGCCACATCAAAGCAATGCAACGGCCCGGTGGCTCTGCCAGGGAAGACCTCTGACCCTCCCCCTAGAACAGGCGAGTTCATGCCCTGCTTGGGATGGAACGGAATCGATGACTGAGGTCAGGAGAGCGACCGTTGACCCTGTAGATAACACCAGAAATGTGGACTAAGGTAAAAGCAGGAAGCGCTGTGTGCTCATGCCTCGGAAGAGGCCTGTCCTCTCCATTCCCCTCACAGCCGCTTCCGGTGGGTTACTCTCGTGCATGCTGTCATCTTATGTCATTCTATCTGTGCCTCATAGTGACAGCTCATCTATCAGTAGTGGCAGATGATAGTTACGTAACAGCATAGAGTCAGCCTTATTGGAAGGGACGGGATTTCTGAATTCTCCCACCTCTGTTCACTGTACGAGAAGACATTACCCAGGATTGGAAGTGAGGAGGAAAGGCAGGTACTACCAAGGTGGCCTCTGAGATTCCAGCTCGGGCTATAGAATTCACAGTCTCTCACTATTGGGTAACCACTTTTCCTATTCTCTCACTATTGGGTAACCACTTTTCCTTGGAGTTGTTTGCCAATGATGACAATAAAGGAGCAAAGAGTCGTAACTGTCATAAGCTCCTCCATAGAGAAGTATCCTAGGAGAGTAAACCACTAGGAAGCACATCTGCTGTGTGTTCCTTTGAGTAGAACTTCCTTTCACCCAGCTCTTCTTCTTGAGACGCTGGGCCACCCTACAGCTTAGACCCGTAGCCACCAAGAAGGATGTAAGAGGAAGAGCATTGGGGACAAGTGTTCAGCTGCAGGGAAAAGGTACCCACACAAGACATGTTTTGCTGCTTCTCTTCCACTAAATGTAAGAGCTGAGAACAGGACACATACCTCCGCATGGTGGCTGGATCCAGACCAAACACAACTAAATATTGTTCCTGGACTCTCAACTAGTACTGTTGCACTGTAATCAGTATTACTGTCACACATCTCTCATGACTTCTTCTGTGAAACTGTCATGACAACTGGGTCTACCCCACAGGCTCCAGTGAGAAAATAATAACATAATAGGCATAAAGTACTTGTGTGATTCCTGTGAGCCTTACAAATAATCATTCTCTAACGTCTCAAATCTAGCTTTGTGTAATGGTAAAAGGACTAGCTTAGGAATTTTGGGACAGAAACTTGCGCATACACCTGACCCTACCTCCTCAGTGCTGGATTGTAGGTGTGCACCTCTACTTCTGGTTTTTGCTATGTTGTGGCTCAGGGCCGTGTGCACTCCCGGCAAGCATCCTATCAACTGAGATGCATCTTCTTGGTTGGGGGTGATTGTTTGGTTGGTTTTGAGACAGGCCATCACACTCTAGCTTTGGACTTGCCTCAGACTCAAGGCATCCCTCCTGCCTCAGCCTCCCAAGTGCTGAGATTACAGGTGTCAGAGGCTTCCTTTTAGTCATGTGACACGATCTCTCTTGCATGGCTTTGGATGGCTGCTCGATAGCTGTGACAATAGAATCGGTCTCTAATAATAAGTAGGATGAAGGCCGTGCATACAGCGCTGGCCCGGTGCTACTTCATTTCCTGCTTCCTTATAACGGTGTGTGTGCTTGTTTGTCCCACAAAAACGGCTCTGTCGCTTAGTAGTTTGTGACTGGAACAAGCCACATAAAGTCTCCATACCTCAGTAAAGAGTCCCGGGTTTCTGTGAGGAATCAGTAAGCAAAGGTGTCAAGTGTCCAGGACAGCAACCTGCATGGAAGATGTACTTTGGGGAGATGTGTTGGGGATCTTTTTGCTGATATTATGGGGTACTTCATCATATAGAGTGTGTCTTGCACAGGAGAAATGGTAACGGCAACTTTCCAGTCTAGGGGATCATACACATTTGATAAACATCTCCCTCCTGCCTGTGTCCCTGTCACCTGCAGTGATTATCTTAACGACCAAGCCTTGTGGAACAAGTGCACACAGCCCCAGGATGTGGTCCCCTGGAATCTGACCCTCTTCTCCATCCTGCTGGTCATCGGATTGATCCAGATGGTGCTCTGTGCCATCCAGGTGATCAATGGCCTCCTGGGAACCCTCTGCGGAGACTGCCAGTGCTGTGGCTGCTGTGGGGTAAGTTAGGACCCTATTGTTTCTTCTCAGAGCAAAGGAAGCCATGTTAGGCCGTCATCATAAGGAGATGAGGGGTAGTGATTACGACTGCCTGGGAAAAACCCGGCCACGCTAGGGCTCCCGGCAGCTCATACAAGCATCGGTGCCGTGTTATTATTGCACATGCCATGAGCAATGTGCCCAGAATGAAGCCGACCACCCTTCCCAGTCCCACGCCTCCCTACGTTTGCCAGATGGGCATGTTCCGTGCAGCAACACAACACGTGTGGCCTAGAATTCTCACTTCTTCCAGTGAAGAGGAACAGTGCAGAGACTAAGCAATTTCTGACACAAGAAGAGAAAGGAAGGAAATTAGTCAAGACGGCTTTCCAAATGTCATCATAAAATATCAATGGGAAAATATAACAAGTAAAAACAAACCTACAGATAACAAAACATCCTGATTATTTCAACACATCACTGAGTTAGATCAGGCAATTAGACATCCACACATTTATTATAAATGGATTAAGAAATGAATAAAAGAATAACTTTTTTTACATTTCAAGTAAGCAGTAAATGTATGAAAATATGTATGAAGACACATGTACAAAAATATGTAATGACCTGGAAAGTCTCCCTCCCTTACCTTGTACTCACCCAGTTTCCCCCAGGTTCCTCAGTATATAAAGCTACATAATTTCTTATGTATCCTCCAAGGCTTTTAAAATTATTGTTATATGTCATATGCAAATAAAATATTCTCCCTAAAACTACAATAATATTGAAAACACTAGACTAAGGGTTTAGTTCAGTGGTAAAGCATTTGCCCAGCATTCATGAGGCTCCATTAGCAAGACCGTGTGTGGGGGGGTGTCATTTGAAAATAGACTGTAAAATTTACATGTTAAACAATACACAATTACAGAAATAAAAATAGCTATGCATAGGAAAAAACAATGAAAAGTGCTAAGTCAGAATTATTTTAAATGAAGACTTACTTTTTTCCTTCCCTCTAGATTATAGTACTACAAAAGTTAATAATAAAGAAAGTTAATAATTATATATTACTTTGAAAATATAAAAAAATCTAGACCAGCAAGATAGTTCTGTGGGTAAAGGCGCTTGCTGCCAAGCCTGACAACCTAGTTCAATCCACAAGACACACACAGAGGAAGAAGACAACCACTCACAACCAGTAAATTAACAAAATTGTAAAATTTAATAAACAAAAGCATTTTTAAAGCCAGTCTGATTTCTATTCTCAGAACCCATGGTGGAAGGAGATAACTGACTCCTGAAAGTTGTCCTTAGACCCCCACATGCACAATGCTTACACACTAATAGCCAAAAGTTTAAAGTATGTATACAGTAAATAAAATTTCCCCACAGGAAAATGCATATCTAATCAACTGCACCAACTATTACATTTTTCCTGCAAAATTTCAATTCCTTTGTGCTGATTTTGTTTTGTTTTTTGAAATAAGGTTTTATCCTGGATGGTCTGAAATTCCTTAAGTAGACCAGGCTAGCCTGAACCTCACATTGATCCACCTGCCCCCGCCTCCCCAGCTCTGGGATTAAAGACTTTCACTACCATGCCTGGTCTTTTTTTAAATCTTTAAACAACTGGAAAGGCTGATTAGCAGTTATCAACCAACAAAGTATTTTCTGTGGTAGCAATCGAGAGTATTGAGCAGGCGGGGGCTGGAGAGATGGCACTGTGGCTGAGAATACTGCCTGCTTCTCCAGAGGACCAGGTTTGAGTCCCAGCATCCACAGTAGCCTACAGTAGTCTGTAAGTCCAGTTCCAGGGGATCCGATGCCTTCCTCTGGCCTCTCTAGCACCTGGCATGAAAGTAATGCACATCCGTGCGGGCAGGTAAAACACCCATATACATAAAATAAAAACAAGCAAATCCTTAAGAGTACTTAACATTTAAATCTCACAGTTTACTCACAGTGAATGAACACTTCCTAAGCCAGCTAAACTGATAGTCTGATTTTAGCTGGATACTAAACTTCCTTTCCAAATTTATCAAGACTAGAATTGCTTCTTAGACAGCTAATAATGGTTCACTAAATCTAGAGCTAACTGTATGTCCATGTAAAGGCATGCCCACAATTGTGTTGAGTCTCTTCGCTGCATTTAATTTGCCAAGACTCTGTATTTTGGTGACACAATGACTAAATTATCGGTGGTAGAGAGACCTTGGGAAGATTCATGGTTTTCAGCATGTGGGCGCAGGGGATTGACGACAGAATTCCCTCTTTCTTTCTTCCTTTCACAGTCCCCTCCAATTTTCTTATCTTAAAAACAAATCTACAGCCAGGCGTTGGTGGCGCATGCCTTTAATCCCAGCACTCGGGAGGCAGAGGCAGGCGGATCTCTGTGAGTTCGAGGCCAGCCTGGTCTACAAGAGCTAGTTCCAGGACAGCCTCCAAAGCCACAGAGAAACCCTGTCTCGAAAAACAAAAAAAAAAAATCTACAGAATTAAATTTAAAGGGACATACAATGCACAGTGAATAGTCTCAGCTGTATCAGGGCCTACCAATATTTGCTCCCCCTCCCTTTCTGATGTCTTAAAAAGTGACTTGGAGACTGTGAAACACAATTGCTGTGCATTTTTGTGCACACCTGAGCATCTCTGAATGCCATATCATGGGGAGTCCTTTCTCATGGGAAGCTTGCCTATCCCTGTATTAACCCTACCCCAGTCACACGGTTAGTGAAGAGCCCACTTCCACATCTGCTAGTCACATGACTTAAGCAAGCTGACTGACTTCTCAACGTCCTGCTGTCCCAGCTGCCTGTTGCCTCGCTTATGCGAAGGTATGCAGGTCAACTTCCGTCCACTCAAGCTGAGAGCCTCTAGAGCCCGGCATGGTCCTGAAATAAAGTGACAGATGGGAAGGATCCTTAACATCCCAAGCTCAAGAACTGGGTGGGTGCCAACTAGTGCCCTGAGTTGAGCATTCGCTCCACAGCTCATCTTACTGGCTCAGTGCCTACTACGGGGCACTAGCTACACATGGAGGCTTGCACTCATGAGACTCAGCGCACCATGCTTGCAATTGCTTACTCATCATATTAATCTCAGGAAGAAGGAGGCTCAGTGAATGGAGCACTGGAACCCAGGCTCTGGTTCATTGTAGCTTTCAACAAAGTGTTTCTTTCACCAAAAATTGTGTCTTGGTGAATCGATAAAGCAAAAAGATTTAAAAAAGGAGAAGAAGCTTCCATACCTATAACTGAAAATTAAGCCGCAGAAATAAAAGCCTCAAACTTGAATCAGCAAACTGTAGAAAGCTTCCAGTAGGAAACACACCAGTGGACAAGGGACGTCGAAAGGAAGAAGAAAGTTTGGGGAGGGTTAGAGCAGGGAGAAGGTGGAGGGGAAAAAAAAAGAAGGCATGTTAATTAACTAATTTTCTCTTCCTACCTTCTAGGGGAATGGAGCAGTCTAAGAGGTTGTGATGACTACTCCAACTTGACAGCACTTCCAGTGGGAAGTCCCGCCCCAGGACACACCCCAGACCCAACCTTGCCCACAGGGGATGCTAATTGCTGTCTTTTTCCTCCTTGGCAGAGGTTGAGAGGCACAGAATCTTTTTCTCTTTTCAAATAACTTTGCTCAACCTAGAAATTTGGTGGGTTTGTGGGTTTTTTTTTTCAAAAACATAAAAACAACTGGGTAACTTTACAAATTAGCCCCACTTTAGGATCCCAGAACAAGTTAAGAGCGTTTTTTTTTTCATGATTTCCCCTAGAAAATGTAAACAAGATGAAGCCGTTTGTCCCTCTATTATACCCCTTCTTTGTATATAAAGATGTTCATATTTTAGGAGGATTTGCATAGCTCTAAGGAAAAAACAACTTAAAGTGAAAACCAGTTTTTCAAGGTGCATGGATAAGGAGTAATTGCTGTATGAGATATTTCTATGTGGAGTCTGTCTGGGCTAGCCTGTCTGGGCTACTTGTGACTGGTTTTATGAGCCTGTCATCATTAGCCAGGGTTCCCACATGTATATGAAATTAAATTAATTAAATTCAGAATTAAAATAATAAACATTGTGTGTGTATGTGTGTGTGTGTTAGGGAGGAAGAAAATGAGTCACACCTGCTTGTTCTTTATCTTTTCATAAATGCATTCTTTCTTCATCCATTCTCTCTTTGACTTTTTTGTTTGTTTTACTTTCTTGGCTTTTTTTCTTACATAAAAGGTCCTTTTTTTTTTTTCTTTTCAAGACTTGCTATGCAATCTAAGCTGCTCCAGAAACCATGCTCTTCCCACAACTGCCTTCTCCGTGCAGGCAGGGCATTACGAGCAAATGCCACTGTGCATGGCCAAATGTGTTATTTGATCAAGCGTCAAAAAAGCTGTAAGATGCTGATTGGTTAACAATTTTTCAGCCTGTTGGGCAAGATTAACTTAAGAGATCGTGTTAATTCTGTGTGCTGTGATGACAGTAAGTTCATCTTGCTTTCACTGGTCAGGCACTGGTGTGAAATCAAATTCACCTGGCTTCTGGTTTCACTTCGATGCACAGCGGCTTAGAGGCCTGAAAGGGAGTTTGTAAGCCTCAGTTTCCCCACCTGCAAAGGGGGTGTTGGAATACATTCACCTGGGGTACTTTGACGTCATCAAGTAGGAAACACAGGCTTGTGATGTTATCGGGGTAACTTGTGAACCACACAAAGGAACTCAAAGTGGGCTATGTCCAGTCTCATTTCCACGCCCACCAGTCAGGTAAAGTGCGCTGTGTGGGTGAGGCCCACTCAAAACTCAAGTCTCATACTCACCACCTGTCTTACTTAGGGTTTCTATTGCTTCGACAAAACACCATGGCCAAGGCAGGCAGTGGTGGCGCACTCGGGAGGCAGAGGCAGGTGGATCTCTGTAAATTCGAGGCCAGCCTGGTCTACAGAGAGAGTTCCAGGACAGCCAGGGCTGTTACACAGAGAAACCCTGTCTTGAAAGACAAACAAACAAACAAAAGAACCACTATAACCAAAAAGCAAGTTGGGGGGAAAGGGTTTATTTGGTTTACACTTCCACATTGCTATCTGTCCTTGAAGGAAGTGAGGACAGGAATTCACACAGGGCAAGGATGCTGGAGGCAGGAGCTGATGCAGAGGCCATGGAGGGGAGCTGCTGACTGACAAGCTTCTCACAGCGTGCTCAGCCTCCCCTCTTATAGAACCCAGGACCACCCGTCCAGGAAAGGCACCACCCACAATGGGCTGGGCTTCTCCCCTATTGGTCACTAATTGAGAAAAATGGATCAATGGAGGCATTTCCTCTACTGAGGCTCCTTCCTCTCTGAAGACTCTAGCTCGTGTCAAGTTGACACAAAACCAACCAGCATACCACCTACTGTGTGCTAGCCACCCAAAAGGTGGAGATGCAAAGTGTACATATCATCTGTGCCCTTATCCAAGTATTGTAATAAACTCTGTGAGGAAAGAGATCATATCCAAGACCTGAAATTTAGTTGTTAGCAGGAAAGCGGCCAATTTAGCCAGGCAGATGGGTCCTTGGGAGAGTCTAACACACACACACACACACACACACACATACACACGTTCAAGTTTATGAACCCATGGGGCCATTCTCATTAAAGCCATCACAGAGGCAAGGACAGCATCTGATGCAAATATATGCTTAGGAGACCAGCATGGGCTCTTGACATAATTGATGGGATGACTTCATGAGCAGGGGTCCAGAGCCCCTGCTGTCCATTGTCCCCATAGTGAGATGGAAACCGTGACCCACCCCCCTCAAGGCAACACGTAGGGAGATTCCACAGAAGAGTAGGGAGAACAGGTGGGAATTAAGCATCTGTGTCACAAGACCAGCATACGACTGAAGTGATTTCAGTGTGCAGTGAAACATTTAAACATTCACAGAACTGTGCTCTCTACAGCTTCGTTTGGTTTCTAAGCCTGAATTCCATGGGACTCTGCTTTGACGTGGGCTGTTCTCGGGGCTGTCTAGTGTACCTTAGCGTTACACTGTGCCCATGAGCATGAGAGCAATTGCACAGGGGAAGGGGGACATCGATCGGGAGGGGGACACGGCTATTATGTCCAGACATGCTGCAGTGGCATCCACATAAACTGTGGATCCCAGACGGTACCAACGGAGTCGAGAAGGGGAGTGACCTTGTAGACTTTAGCCAAGCATGCAAGTCACGCTGTCTGCCGCAGGCGCAGGGCTGTGAGGAGGTGCCAAGGAAATCACCTGTAAGGTAAATCAAGACTAGCTCCTCCTGCCGAGACCCAAACCTCGGGGTGTTTGCCCAGGAATGAGAGCTGTTCTGCCCTGAACAGCTTAAGGAAGGCGTGGTCTCAAAATGGGCAAAAACAAAAACAAAAACAAAACAAAACAAAACAAAAAAACAAATGCCCAGATAGAACATCCCAAGTCAGACATCAGTCTTCAGCAGCAGGAAAGAGCTAAAGGCTATGGGCTGAGCATGAGGTGCACTGCAACGTGCTCACCAAGCCATGGGAGGCTGGCACACGATCCTTGAGACACAGAGGAGAAAATTCTAGAGCATTATGCAGCCTGCTGATGCTTGCCATCCAAGGGGGGAAGAAAGGACCCAAACACACTAAAGAAGGAGGGAAGGAAAGGAGGGCGGAGGGGTGAAGGAGAACGGAGAAAGGAAGGAAAAGCTGCAGGTCTTGAAACAGTTAGGGAGAGGCGAACACAGATTGAAACTAGGCGGGGGGGGGGGGGTCTGTCTTTCTGCAAAGTTCCTTTGCCCTGTTCCTCTCGCCACCTGACAGAATGGGATAATCACGGTGATGAGGGGGGGAAGGTTTACTCGGGTCTATGTTTGCAGTGTAAGGCAGCTGGCTCTACCGCTCTTAAGTCTGCGGAAAGACAGAAACATCGTGGTCAAGGGACAGCACTGGGGCAAGCTGCTTGCTTCACTGCAGCCAGGAAAGGACGGAGCAGACTCTTCAAAGTCACACCCCTAATGGTCCACGGAGCCATGTCCTCCAGCTAGACCTCGCTCCCCAACAGCCCATTCGGTTACAAACCCATCAATGAATTAATCCATCGATGAAGCCAGCACCCTCGGCATCCAATCCCCTCTCGCAATAACACCACCTGAGGACCAACCGTCAGCGTATGAGACTTTGGGAGGACGTTGACTATCCATGTTAAGAGTCTCCATAAAAGGCCTATTAGGGGAAAACCCTGGTCGGAAGGCTGGAGCCTCTGACCTGAGTGGGTACCAACCATTACAATCGGACAGGGTCAATGAGTTGGCCAAGAGACCACCCCTAGGAAGGCAGGTTCACCTCATGCCAAAGAGATGGGTGGAATAATTATCCGTTTAATGAGATGCTGTACTTCTCCTTGCCAGGGTTCTTGTCCTAGTTCATAGTCCCTGTGTTACGAGAAGCTATTTCCTTGAGTGAAGCTTTCCCGCCCGCCTGGTTCTAGAGCCGCATCAGTCCCAAATAAACACACAGGAGGCTATATTAATTATGAAGCTGTTGGCCTTGCTTGTTTCTTACTGGCTAGCTCTGACTTAAGTAATTACCCCATAATTGTTAATCTAAGTATGTCTCTTACCGGAGAATAGTTCCGGGCTCCTACCCCATGGCGTTACATCTTGAATTCTCCTGTGTTTCTCCTTCCCAGAATCCTCCTGGACTCCTAGTCCCTCCTATCTAGATTCCTATTGGCCAGCAGTAATCTATTGACATATACACAGGACTTCCCCAACATCCCTGCAAGCTGACCAGAGAATGCCGTGAGGTTTGTTGAGTGTTCCAGTCCCTTCTCTCAGATGCCAGGTAGAATCAAAACATTCTTCTCTTGATAACCTGGAATATCTTACTCCTTCCCTACCCCCTTCCTCCCCGCCATGTGGCTGTCTGTCTAAACATTCTTCTCTTGATAACCTCCAGAAGGTGTAGGGCTTGGAGTCAGTACAGGTCGCACCCAGACACCAAATTCTCAACACAAGGAAAGAGTATTACCATGCCGGGGCAAGCAAGGTGCAGAGGGCGTAGAGGGTGGGGAGGTAAGGGTCTGGGGGTGGGGAATGGCTGCCTCTGGCTGGGCAAAGGAAGATAGCAAGCAGCAGCAGGTGTTTTTTACAGACTGGGTTTTTAAGGAGAAAATGGGGAGTCTGAGCTTGGGCGAGTTGGTAAATTCTGATTGGACAGGTTAGATTTTGGACCCTGGTATTTTGTCTCAGAAACGAGACAGTGGCCAAGTAAGGGAGTAGACACTGGGGGCTAGCTTCGGGAATTTGATCTAGTATTTTTGTTCATTTGTTTTGTTTTGTTATTTAGCAAGGGAGAGAGAAGGGAGAAAACGGCAAACCCTGGAGGCACCATGTTTGCCACACCCCTGGGGCCTGTTAGAGAGTCCTCCAGAATGCACCTTGACTTCCCTAGGAACATCTGGTGACTTCAAAGCGGGCCCCAAAATTCTTGTAACATAAACCATAGCAGTTCTAAAATGTTTTATGTGTGTGTGGACATACACATACACTTCCTACAGTGACTCCACTGGCAACAACTTCATTACCAACACCAGTTAAGCCGTTAGCTTGCCCTCTTCATGTCTGATGCCAGGGATTTGAAGTGCTCACTGGAGGAGGTCATAAGGCCATCCTACATGGACATAAAAATCTGACATAAAAATTTGGGACCCACAAGCACCCTCACCCCGCGGTGCGGCCTCATCAGCCCCTTGTGCCGCTTCTTTAATCGAGGCCAGGGTTTCCCAACCTCTGCAGCCATTGCCGGTCCCACTGCAGTCCCCCATGGCACCCTGTAGACACTATAATGCCGTTGTCGTGGCCCCTAAAAGTCCTTTCTTCTGCTGCCTGTGATCTCAGCACACGCGGCTCTGTTTTCGTCGGCAGCAGCCTTCTTCAGGAGACATTCCACACTCCTGGCCTCTCCCCACGGTATCTGTGCCGCGCTCTCCTAGTTTGCACATCGCCTGCAAAGACGCTGATCCTATGGCATGCGTCCTGGCTTTCCACCTTTTTCTTTGAGATCTGCGTAGATGCCTTGGTGACTCCAGAACCC